GCAGGAGCCAGTCAGAACAAGAAATGCCACACCTGAACTCCTGCTGCGTTCTTCATACCTAACAATGGTGTGTCAGCTGGTGCTGAATGGTTTTGGTAGTGATGTATCAAGGACATTGTTTCTGATTCATGGCAGATTCTCATTGAACTTCATGTAGTTATTATGAGCAGGAATAAATAAGTCAAGTCACAGGAAAAGACAATCATGCTAGGAAAAGTTGAAGGCAAAAGAAGAAAAGGAAGACCAAGTATGAGATGGATTGGCTCCATAAGAGAAGCTTCAGCCTGGAATGTACAAAGGTTCAGCAGGACTGTGAAGGACAGGGCGTTTTGTAAGGCTTTCCATCATATAGTTGCCATAAGTCAGAGATGGCACACAACAACAACAACAACAACAACAACAACAGAGTTTGTTTCCTATGAATGTTGTCATGTCTGCGTCTAATTATTTGTGTTTTACTCCATTAATGAGGTGTTGCATGCATGCAAATACACTACAGCATAAGTGGACATCTCGTATGCATGAAATACCCATCACACCTGTCTGTCTGTCTGTCTGATTTCATATTGCAATGCGTCCTTTTAAAAAATGTTTTTGATGGCATCACATATTCAGCTGTGAGACGTAAAGTAATGTGAATGTTCATGCATATTTGAATTGACTTTTTACTTACAGATGTAGATGTGTTTGGAATGTTTATGGTGCAAATTTACCCACACTGTGAAGTACTGGTGATCTGAAGGTCCCAAGTGCTAAAGGGGTATGCGTGGAATGTTTTGTAATCTAGCTTGATGAAAGACTGGCATGCAATCTATGTACTCCTTTCGCACTGGCATTCTTCTGCTCCCTGAAGATAAATTTTTTTCTGCTCACTTCAATTTTCTGACATCAATCAGAAAAGATATTGACAACAAGCATATCTTTTGGTTGGTGGCTTATGAATACTTAACAGTAATTTAAAAAATACCATTGCTTTTAAAAAGTGGAAAATAAATTCTGACCCAGTCTGATGAAAGCAAGGGAACTAACGGATATATTACTTATTTGCATATAGAAGAAAATCTGAGATATTCTGCATACCATGCTTTTCTTCACCAAGGAGTTACGGCCTCTCCTTAAGCAAACTTAGAACCAGAGGTAGAGAAGTAAGAGGCAGAAGGGGAATGTTCTCATTTTAAATACTTATTAACATTACCTAGAGTGTTTTGTGTTGAGTAATTTAGTGAGCTCAAATGCAAGGAATTTCTATTTGATTGGAACATCTTGCAATATGGTGAAGCACATGTGCGTGTGGACACACACATACTCTCCTTAGGATGGGATGTGAAAGAACCTTAAGTGGTTTGTTCAGCCACCCACTGAGACAGTGACTGGTGTAGATGGCAGTCATTATGACCAGATAGATGATTCAGCCATTACAACTTCACCCACTTATACTTTTCAGGATTAAAGTAGGAACCACAAGTATTCCAGTTACACTAAACAAATTATTCCAGTTATTTCCTTACCACATCAACTGCTTCAGGTTGCAACATAGCTTTTTCCTCGTCCCCATACTAGGTTGTTTTGTTCTAACTGACCTATGGGGACGCATTATTCCTGCTTACTTGGTCCTTTTTCCTAGACTTAAAAGTCTGGTCTGGTAAGTTGGTACATGTCTACCAAATACCTTTGTATATAGACCTTAGTGATTACTTCCTTTTGTACCAACCCTGCTGATTATTTAGCGACTTGGTCTAAGAGTCTATGAAAAGGTCCTTGGAATATAAGGTAATCTACTTTAGTGCAATAAATGCATAGTCTGTACCTGTTAATTGCATGTACTCAAGACCGTATCTTTCCCAGAACTGCCATGGTTTATAGTGTGGAAAATGCCGTATTTCCTTTTTTCGGGTAATGCATTCAATGCTGTGTGGACTGTGTTTGTACAGCTGCCAAAAGAACCTGTCTGTCATGATCTGTGAGATGCTGTTCAGAACGAGGATCGCACAGATCATAACAGACTGCAGCTCTGCTTTTGTGTCCCTATCATTTTGCGAGTCTTCATGTATTTTTTTTGCTTGACAGTCTAGTAGTTGGTTAAAGTGCTAATCTATTTCCTTGAAATTTTGGGTTAACTATTAAGGTTGCATTAAGATTCTGGCAAAAATATTGTTGCCAGTGTTTCCTGCAGTGAACCTATTAAGTACAGACATCACACATGTGTGGACATGCACCCAGTGCTGGCTTCAGTTTCCTGAGGGCCCATGGAAGTACACCTTCAACAGACCTCCTCTTCAGAGAGCCTCCATTCTTACTGCCACTCTCTACAGCTGCTATTTCCCCCTTTTTTCCTTGTTGCTCCTGCTTCCTCGCTTGCCAGGCAGAAAGCCAGTGAACAAGCGGTGTGTGGAAGCTACTGCTCCTTCTCACCAGCAACACCATTGCCTGGGCCAGAATGAGAGGCAAGGGAACCAGCAGGTTGGAATGGTGGAAAGGAGGAGCGGATTCAGGGGCTATTGTCAGGGGGACTCTGCTGGGGTGTGGATCCCTGGCAGGAACCCAACCACACTTACCTTGCATGTATTGAGAAGCATCTCCTCATGTCTGATAACCTATCAAGAAATGGGTTAGATAGAGTTATAAGGAAACAGGTAAGGATAGAGTAGAATAATTAACACATTGGCTCAGTTCAGATATAATGACAAACCATGGTTTGCCCTTATGAATGTAAGCAGTGTAGAGACTTGGGTTTTTATATCGCTTCCTGTTAAATTCACACATAAGGACAGGAGTTTAAGAGCATCCATTGCTAGTTAACAGGAAATCGTAGCTGTTTTGCCCAAAGCTGGCAAACTATAGGGTGTTCAAAGATAGGCTAGACATGCACATGGTGGGCATGGGGTCAGACTAGACGGCCCAGGAGACCCCTTCTGACTCGCTCTGTTTCTATAGAAGTGAGGAATGTCAGACTGAATTTTTTTCCTCCATCCTCCAAATTCCTTTTCCTTTTGTACAATGACGAGTGTAGGATTTCTCTTATTACTGATTTGTGGAAAATTCCCTGGAGCTGAAGAATTGGGTACTAGCACTTAAGACAAATTATTGATTTACAAATTCCTTTTATTCATTAAAGTAGGTACTACAGAAGGGGAGAGCTATTATATTACACTTCATGTTAAACAGACACTTGAAGCAGCAGTATTTTCTTAGTTATAGCCAGTGCTTTTTTTGTAAGAAAAAGGGTGCTGGAACTCATGAAATTATTTACTTTTCTCACATAGTCAGTCACTGTACACACACCCTCACACATCAGTTGTGTAACGAAACAACGGTCGCCGCCTGCAGTAAGCACTCAGTGCGCAACCACATGACTAATCACAAGCCGAGCAGTGCCACAAGCCAAGCAGCGCCATCACAACCGGCGCGGACGAAGTACACATGCATCGGATTTGACACACAAGCAGCCCACATGCACCGTTTTAATGATTTTGCTGCCAACCTGCTGCGCTCGACTGGGTGATTCGAATCCACGTGGACCAGACATCAAATATTCAAAAGTTATTTTTAAAACTTGGAAAATCTGTCGAAAAAAGGTGCCGGAACTCTGTTCTGGTGCGTTCTATGACAAAAAACAAAAACAAAAACACTGGTTATAGCTGCAATCATGAGCACGTCACTTCCTTCTTTCCCTCTGTTTCCCAAACTCAAATGAAACTTCTGAAGTGTGGTTCTTTTATAGAACCTTAACTAGCGACAGAACAATATAAGTCAAAGTAGCCTTCCACTGGAATTGTGGCCTTCTACTGCCCATATGAAATGCTGACTCCAAACTGAAAAGTCCCCTCCTTGCCTTCCTTCCAGTAAAGCTTCTGACTTCCCCACAGGCTGGCTCTTGCCGCTGAAGGGCTGGATGGAGGAAACACTGGAGGTTTTGCAATTGCTCTGCTCACTCCTCCTGCCACCAACTAATCAGGTCAAGGAGCTATTCCTACATCTCTGCTCTCACTCCCACCCCTGAAAACCTTCTTCCTTTTCAAGAAGTAACCTTGAAACCAGCAACGCTTCCATCTCCCTTTGCTCTTCTGCCTCCTCAGAATCAGATGAATCCATCGGAGCAGACTGCAATACTGATCCTGTCGAAACTTGTTACAGAAGGGGAACTCCTTGCTTTAATTCAATTTTAGTTACACCTGTATCCTACCCTTCCACTAAAACAATCACAGTGACTTCCATAGGTCAAGCTAAGTTGATTAAATACATAGTTGGCATGTTTTGTGGGTGACACTGTTGAAAGCAGAACATGGAATAATCATGGAGTGATTTCTGGATGCTAACAAGCTGCATGGCTAGAATTAAAACAATTAGCCAAGTCAGGCATTGTTTAGGCCATAAATGGGCAGAGCTGTGAGCAATGGAGTGAACGTTCTCCTTTCCGCATGATCATGGCTTCTCCCATGAACCAGCTTTAATCAGCAATGGAGGAATGCACCATTCCAGGATTGCTTGATATGATGCTTGAACCTGAAACTCTGGAATGTTGAGGGATAAACAATCCAAAATTTAGCATGACAATGAACCATGGGTGATTGTTGGGTCATACTCTGGGTTGTTTTACCCCGAACAATCCAGAATTGTCTGTTTGGATGTCACACCAAACAACCCAAGAACGGGGCTGGAAAAAGAGGGAATAAGGATCTAAAAATGCAAGATCCTAAAAGGCTTTGTCCTGGCTGAAATTTTCCCTCAAGAGATTACATTTAGCATAAGAATGACTTTCAACTATAAGTGAACTAGGCTAGTTAGCAGCACAGAATACCCGCTTATCGCTTATTGAACCTAACCCACCCTTGCGCATGGCACACCTACTTGCTAACTACTTTATCTGAAAGGTACAGGGTATACCCCAACCCTCTCAGAGTCATGCAAGCATGACCATGCGAAACCAAAAACAGGATCAAGGTGGTGATAGAAATGCACAAGAAGCACGAGCGCAAGGTCAGGCAGGGACGATAACGTGACTAAGAGGCCTGCAAGAACCGGATGCCAGCGACGATTAGGGGTGGTCAGCAGAAACTGTGGCGAGAGACGTACCGAAGGCATGCATCAGTACTTTTCCAGAGATAAAGAAATGCTATAAAAAGCTTGTAATACCGTACATAGGGACCGCACTTTACTAATGCGTTGGTCCCTGCGCAGGTAATTAAAGGACCCTCCAACTCTCCAGGCTGGTGTCCAGTGGTCTCATTCCGGCTCGCTACAACAATAAGCAAGCACAGGTAACTTGTGTTTTGATTCTTCCGGAGGCTTTGCAAACCAAAGAAATCTACTTAGAAATAGCTGGGCCATTGATTTTTCTCTACATGCCAATGATTTGATCTACTAGCTTTTTTTTAAAAAAAAGCACAACTTTCCCTCGATGGATATTCATTCTGTTTGCTGGAAGTTTTAGCTTAGAATCTTACTTTTTGAATGAGATCACATTGATCTGAATTGAACTCCACTTTGGGCCCCTTTTCTGGGCTCTTGCTTGGGATCACGGAGGCCAGGTCTGCCATTCCTATGAAGATTCTTGGCTGAATTGTCACCCCAGGCATTTCTCTTTTATTTAAAAAAAGAGTAAAAGGTAGGCCCTTGAAATGTGAAGATCTTTAGCCCAGGTACCATTTTGACAATATCATGAAATGGAGTTCCTCTTGGCCTATTCATGTGTAAATTAAAATACAGAATGCATGCCTGGGCTACTTTAGGGACTAGAATCTTGCAGCTTCAAAACAGAAGCCATTCCCTTGCTTACTGTCCCCACATCCATCGGTTGTCACTGCATTTGAACTGGCCACTGAGAAAAAACATTCCCAGAAGCGTGCTGTAGATTTGAAACACATGTATTTGAATTAAGTATGCTAATTTGTTTTCGTGGGTTACTTCTTTAGCATTTTATGCTGTTAGGACATTTTGATTATACAACCCTAATTCCAACCTGTTATGGCTTACATATGCTTCCCAGAAGGTTTCCTATTCAGGTAGCTTGCAATGCCAGACCTAAATAGTAACAGGTCTGTAGGTAATAAGCCTATGCTATGTGCCTTCCAATTTCTCCTCTGTAGCCTTAAATAAAGTGATAAACGTTGTTTATAGGTGCTCTATAAACAAGTGAAGGTGTCTGCTCTGGACACAGTTATTTCTTAAATGGAAATAAAAATGTTTAAAAGCACATTTGGCTCAGGTTTAGAAAATACAATGCTGTTCCTGCATTTGTGTTGCTGGAAAGGTTAAAAGTTTATGTTGTTGTCTTAAATCTCATTAAGCACACTGTGCTTGAGCAAATACACAAAGCTGAATGCCACTGATTAAAAATGCTGCTTGTGAAAACATTCAAAAACAGCACAGCTTTATCAGTTGTCAGCACTCCTGTGCCTTCCAGCACATTATTGCTCTGAGATAGACCAGAGCAACGGAATACTTAGGAACTGTGGGAGATGATATTATTCTTCAGCACTTAGTGAAAGGGGGCTGGCAAGACGAAACTGGTTCCTCATTCCCGCATCAGTGACTATCCATGAACTCACTGGAGAGCAATGCTATTTTAGTCTCCCATTAAGGGTTGAAATATGAAACACTTCTTTGAGTTTTAAGCCTGTGTTCAGCCTGCCATGCCATTCATGCCACATACTGTGCATCCTTTCTTCATACCTGCATAATATGCAATTGATTTTCACATGCAACGCACACACCCTACCTTGGCCTCACTCTGCTGCAATCAGGCCTGGGAAAGGCCATCTGTAGAAAAACTTTACCCAAAACTAATTATAATATCAGGGGTGCAGCTGAGGACGAGAAAGATACACCCTTCAATTATGTCTTTCCACAACGATTAGGCTTGAAAGAGACCTATCCATTGTCTTTAACAGAAAGCTTTTCCCAAGCCTTATTGCTATGAGCGACAGCAGTAGAAGTAGTGATCTGACCATGACAAGGGAGTCAGACGCAAATTCCTCACCCTCAAATCACCCTCTTCCTGCCCCCATCGAGAAACCAGGTCCAGCGTGTGCCCACGTTCATGGGTCGGGCCTATGACATGTTGAGACAGCCCCAAGGCCATCATGGAGGCCACATACATGTGTGCAAAATACATACGTGTGTGTGTGTGTATTAAAATGGGCTATGGGTATTGTATTTTGTCACCCTTTAAGATGATACTATTCAATAACGCTTACAGCTTACTGCACAGGACCATTGCCTAGAAGTTTCACTGAGTTCAGTTGAATTCATTCAGAATTGCAGCAATGCTTAAGATTAGCCTGTAATTCTGAATCCACTTCCAAGAGAGTAAGTCCCATTGAGCTGGAGCAAGTCATATTCAGACCCTCTCACTGAGGGCCTTATTTCAGCATAAACATGCTACCACCTTCTTGCTTTATGTCAACACAATAATGAATGAGTCACACTGGAATTCAAGCTTCAAAAGGTCTCTCTAAAACATCTAAGTAAACATCTGGTTCCTGCTGTTCCCTGCAGCTCAAATTCTCATCTTCATATTTAACAAAGGGAAGGCAAACCGGTTTCAGCATAATCAAGTCTTGTTTCAAAAGCCTGGAAGCTTTCAATGGGGATGGGGGCCCCATTGGGGACAGCAGCATTCCTGCTAAGCTGGCTAAGTTTTGTGGTGTCAGCAAGAACATAGTAAGCAACAACAGCAAAGGAAACAAGCACTCTGGTTTCACCTTGATTTTAAAAACTGCATTTGGGGCCAGTTCCTATTCACTGCGGTATGTGCTGAACAAAACACTGGGCCCAGGGTTTCCAAGACTTTGGCCCTTCTGCATTAACTTCAACAGTTCACTGAAGCAGTTTCTGCATGACAGAGTGGGCTGGAGTATATGGGGAGCTTTGTGGTAGAATGCTATGCACTCCTTTGCAAATTATTTTTTTGCATATGGCATTCAGGGGATGGCCAAAGAAACAAGCTACTGTCAGCTCATTGTCCTGCTTCCATTTAGCCTGTGGTGCTTGATCCGACCTGATCTTGAAAGCTAGGCAGAGTCGGGCTGGGTTGAAATCTATATGGGTGACTTTAGTCCTGCATCCAGCAGGCGGTTGGACTCGATGGCCTGCTAGGTCCCTTCCAAATGTATGACTCTAGGGTCCTATGATCTCAAGATAAGTGAATTCAGTGTTAATTCTGAACAAAAAAGAAGGGAGTTCCATTGTTCTGAGGCTTAATAGTCTCGGATAAATAGAGCTTATTGCAGGGAAAACTGGAACAGAAGCATTTGTACAACCTGAAGTGCCTGATCCTGCCTAATCTTGGAAGCTAAGCAGGATCAGGCCTGGTTGAAATTGGGATGAGTGACATAAATGTTGTAAATGGCCCAGAGTGGCCACTTCTGTACCACCTACCCAGCATAAAATCTGTTCTATGTTTCATGGATTGTGAGGCACCTTTCATTCCACTGAAGCATATATTTTGCTAGACATTTCAAAACTTAACCTTTAACAACGTAAACAGCTAAGACATTTTCATACAGCTTAGCCAGCCCAAAACAGACGGCCATCTCTGAATGTCAGCCTGGTATAAAGCATAGTCAACCTGGTGCTGAAAGGGTAACAAAGTTGATACCAGAGGATGTTTGCATGTCTCCAGGTTTGGGGGCTTCTGACCACCAAGAATGCAATCGTTAGGGTACAGTACTATGCATGTTTAGACAGAAATAGATCTCACAACTAGCGGGATTTCCCAGCCAGCAATGCTGCCTGGGAATTGCTTAGAGTTGCAGGACATATTTCCATCCAAACATGGATAGCATTCTGACCCTAAAATGAAATGTTATGTCTGCTTACATTGCTGTGTGCATACGGAATTCAGCTGCCATCAGTTACAGATCAATGAAGCAGCCAAGTGGACCGTGCATTCTTTTGAAGTCTATTGGGGATTTCCTAACAACAGCAATTATAATGGAAGACAAGCTTCCTCACACTTTGTCCACCACCACTGAAAGGCATAGCAACAGATCATTGGATAATAAGGGATCTATCTTAGATTGATTTCAAGCTAAAATTAATTCAAGATTGAAGAAAACTGAAAAGGGATTGTTTTGAACAGAGGGCTTGCTTAGACAGGAAATTCCTTTTTAAAAATAATACATTCATGTTCCACTGTTTAAAATCCCTCTTCTAGTTGTTTCTATGTTTAAAGTGTGCGGGTTGGTCATATAAATCAGGCCCTAATCACTTTGTATACAAATGTTGCGTATATAATTTCCAAGTTGACCAGGGTAGCATTAAGAATCCTTAAATTAGAAAGACAGCAGTTGGCTCGGGGCCACAGGAGCAGCTTTTCAGCAGAGTGGAAATCTGTATTCACAACTCCCTTGGAGTGGAAATCTGTATTCACAACTCCCTTGGAGTGGAAATCTGTATTCACAACTCCCATCACACTGACTTTCAAAGTTTCTAAATTACTTGCTCAAACTCAAAAGAACAGTATGACCATGTACTTTAAATGGGTTTTTTTAATGTTATAGTGAAATAGGCAATTATCTTGAACAAGAAATCAGCCGTTCAATTGAACCATATACAGGCTTTTGTAGCACTTCTGTGTTTTAAAGCCTGCTCAGCCTTGTGCTGCCACTCATTGTTGGCTGATTTACTCTGATCTCCAAACCTTTCTACCCTACTTGCCCATGAATGCTTCTCTTTCAGGCACTAGGTGGATTCAGTTCAAAAACTCTAAGTCTCTAATACTCCTACCCCTGCACCTTCTAGTTTAAAGCAATCACTTGATAGTTTTTCTGTTCATGGGAGCATGCATGTTTAGGCAGAAAAAAATCCTACAACTCCAAGCATTTCCCTGCCCACCATGCAAGCATGTGAAGGATTTGCAGCCCAAGTGACTCTTACCTTTTTGGCCCTACCTTTTAGTTTACCAGATTTGAGCTGTGAGTCGCGTTTGCAAGCTGCCAAACTAAACAGAACTCTTTTTTGTGTGGCTCAGTTGAAATTTAGTTGTGCCATGTCATTGTAGAATCGGAATAAACTACCTTTTAATTCAGACCTGCAGAAGGTTATCTGTAATTTTCAATAATCTTTTTACAGATAATCAAAGGTTTCCCACAACAGATACTGGCCCAGTCATTCATATCTATGTTATATTTCTCACTCCCTTGGGCCTCAGTAAGAAAATATAATTATCAAAGGATTTGTTGTCCTTATAAGTTTCAAATAATACACTCAATCTTCTTAGGAACTCTTATGTTAAAACAAAAAATAAAACTCTCCTGAGTTTACTGAATTTTTTATGCAATATGAATGACACTTGGTAATGTTGGCATTCTTTCCCCAGTCCAGGCAGTAGGAAATACCACAGTGAAACTAGATGAAATGGCATTGATTCTACTACCATGGGTTTTTTAAAAAGCCATCACAGGTTCCCCATTGATCCCGGTCAGGAACTTGGAGCGGAGGCTGAGAGGCTTTGACCCTTTTGGCACAGCGTGGTCCAGAGCCAGCCCTGTACCTGCTATTTTCACTGGGTGTGGGGAAAACTCCCTTTGGCAATGGATTAAAATCATTCCAGCTTTTTAGATTTCAGTCTGGAGCCGTCTCCTCCACTCCTAACCCTTGCAATTTTTTAAAAAGTCATGCTAATCATGTGAATGGCATCAGCTTTGTCCCTTACTGATAGGACAGTATGATAAAATGTTGAAACCAATTGAGCAAAGCAAGGAAGTTATTATATTTGAAAATAACAAAGATCACATTCAGAGTTGTGGATCAGGTCATGCCTTGATACGTGTTTGATAAGAGAGGTATTATTTGCTTGTGTCATAACACCGAAGCTATCTAGATTCTCTAGGGTGAGTGAGAGTCCCCAGAAATAGCTTTGGGCTTTAGTAACAAAGTGCTACTGGGGATAGCTGTTCTTGCTTAATGACATGTAATGAAGTGTTTATGCCTTTGCTGGATAAGGGACAAAAAGTGATTATGACGGCTTAGTTTGCAAGAGGCCCTGCTTGGTTTCTGTTACAACAGGGTGCCAGCCTGCTTGGTTTCTGTTACAACAGACTGGCCAACAAAGCTCCTGAACAAATTTCTGGATGTTACAGAATCGTATTCAGGCTGGTAGCAGGGAGGTATGGTATACATGGCCTAGAAGGAACCTCAGAAGAGATTCCTTAGGCTTGCTCGTCCTGTTCCGAATTGCAATCTGCTTGCTTACTTTCCCCTTATTCTCATAAAGGTGGCAATGATGGGAAGGAGAAGGAGCAGATATCACTGCCTACCAGATGGTCCTGGAAGTCTGCCTGAAGTACGGAGTGAATCTGACCACTACTCTTTGTGGGCATCCCAGGGTCATCCTGACACAAGTTCTGAAGATGATGACCTTGAAGACTCGGAGATGGGAGTTTTGGAAACCCGGGGAGAGGCACAGGCCTCTGAAGTGCCTTCAAGGTCGCTGCCTACAGCTTCTGAGGCTGATCAGAAGAGCAAGATTGTTTCAGAAGGGATGGGAGGAGCTGAAGAAGGGGAACAGGGAGAGCCATTGCCATGCCTGGTCCCTGACTCCACAATAAGGCATTGGAGAGATGAGTTGCCCAGTTAAAGAGTTTGTGTGGGTCTCACTGGCTGGCCCTTCACAAGCAGGACCACCCTGAAGGTGGAGGCCTCAGAGTTACTGAAAAGGAAGGATTTGGGGGAGAAGTCCCCAGTTTGGGCTCAGCATTCTTGACATGAGCAGAGTCTAATCTTCCAACTCACTAGAGTTTAGAGTTTAGGTGTGAAGTGCCAATGAGGATTGCCATTGAAAAAAGACTATCTGATGTTTCGTAGCTGAAGGGCAAGAAGGTGAGGACCTGTCGAGCAAGTGAGAAATGGGGAGGAAGAGGAGAAGCAAAAGCAGCTGGTGTAGTGGCAGTGAGAGGGCAGACTCGGCAAGCAAGGGTCTTGCCCATGGCCCTTCCAAAACTGGGAACCAGCACTGATCTCATTTCCAGATCACATGCTACCCTTACTTATAAGTTACCATGTGAAATCAGTCCCCATTTTGTATATTGGAGATCAGGAAGGCTGCCCCATACCAGTTGTCCCCACAGTCAGGGAAATGTGGGGGACTTGAAATACTGGCCTGCCACCTGCCTTGAATCCACACTTTAGCAAGGACTCAGCAGCAGCTGTAAGTTACACATCTGGCCTTCACGGGAACCACTCTTACCGGAGAAGAGAACAGTGGTGGCATCTGAACTTCCGTTCTTCGTGGGGTTAAGGTTTCATAACAGTTACAAAGCACAGTGAAGATTGCTGCAGCTGAGACAGCAAAGGAAAGAAAGAGCTGGGCATGTACGTCTTTCCAGCACAAGGCTGCTGTGAATGAATATGTACAGCTGGGCTGTGTCCTAGCCCTGTTAATATATAAAGAATTTACCTGAACCACTGGCATGCTTTGCAATAGGTCTTTCAGTTTCTGGCACACTGTGCCAGATTTCCCAAGTGTGGCATCCTCTGGACAGGTTGGATTGCCCTCTCATGAAGGCTTCTTTTCCCTCAACCAGACGTTCCAGATGGCTGCAACGCAGAGTGAGAGACGAAGAAGGACCATTCCGCCAGCTGCAAGATGCTTTGATTTCCCCCTCCCCCTTTTCCACCTGCTTTTCCTTGCATGCCATGCCTTTTAGGTAGGAGCCGTCTACTTGATGGTTTTTAAGCTGCTTGCAGGAGCATTTTAAATTGAGAAATCAGATAAAAATACTGGAAATAAAATAAACTGCCATAGTTTGCAGCCATCTGGAGTGGTTTGTACTTGTTCACATGGAACCTTGTATGACTGCCTGCTACCTGGATTTTGATTTGACACCTGTGTAATAGCTGTAGTCAAGCATGGCGGGTTCTTGAAGGTTACTAAGAAATGAAAAATATCTCTGTACACTTCTGCTGACTTTTTCCAGCTAAGGAATATTGTATAGTATTAGAATATCTACTTTGCTTGCAAAGGTCTCCAGATTCTATCTCTGTTACCTTTTGGTAAGGCTAGGAAAGCCTAGAGAGTACTGCCACTCAGTGTAGGCAATACTGAACTAGATGGGCCTTGGTATTGTTTATTATTTATTTAATTTTTATCCCACTCCATTAGCCATAGGCTCTCTGGGTGGCTCACAACTTTATTAAAACTGTACAATTGGTCTAACCCTAAACAATTAATAACCCTAAGCCTAAACAATTAATAAACACTGAAATGACCTTAATAAACCAAAAAAACCAATAAAATTATACATAATAGAATTGACATTAAAATCAAATACAAAGTATGGCGAAGTACAGCATTTTATACTGTATTGTTGTATTTTAATTTAATATTTATATTTTAATTTATATTATAATTATTTTAACTTGATGATGTGAGCCGCCCCGAGGCTTCGGCGAATGGGGCGGCATAAAAATGTTTTACTAAATAAATAAATAAATAAAATAAGGGAACTCCCTGTATTATGGTTGATGCTTTTGGAACTGGGGTCAGTTGTCTACCATTTTTCATGTTCCCCCAACCAACAGATTGAATGTCAAGTCTACTGTCTCTTTCATTAGCATAAATCACTGGCAAGTTTAGGTTGGAGACAAGACCTTATTTGGCTACAAGTATGTTCAGCCACTCTCCTTAGGCCAATCACGAGAAGAGAAAACCCTTCCCACACACCTTCTGTCTCAGCACTTCCTGTTCCTTTTCAAAATCCTTTGCCTTTCCATTTAGTTCCAGTAGTTGTGGAACTAAAGTGACTTTCCAGTACCTTTCCTCCTTTTTCCTTTATCTATTTTTCACCAACGAAATGAAACGAAACGAAATGAAACAAAACAAAATCCTCCAAGAAATAGTGACAAATATGCATTTATATGGTAACTTAACTTACAACTCCCTCCCATCAATGATCAGAGATTGTTAGAATATGATCCTTGAAAGCATCACCTATTTACTATGGACTTGGTTAGTTACATAATCCCTGAAGACTATAGTTTTTTAAAAGACAGCCTAATCTGGGCTTCTCTCATTCTTGCCCTTTATCTCTGCTTTATAGATCTGGCTCTCTGAACTCTTCCAGTCATTGGGGCTTAGACTCTGCAGGAATTTCAGATTCTGGCAATTGCTACAGCTGTTCATGCTGTAACTCTTCTTTCTGCTTGTAAGAGCACAGATGCCTGCGGTTCTGACATAATATACTACCTTCCGGATTGGTCACTTTATAGGATCTGAGAGCCAATGCTTTAATCCATATTTTGCTATTTCTTTGCTACTTTAACTTTCCCATTGCTCTGTGGATGTTTATTCATTTATTCATTAAAAGCTTTTGTATGCCATCCTATTATACAAAATCTCAGGACGGCTTACAATATTTAAAAGAACAATTAAAGCAACAATGCTGGGAGGATATGCTGGGAGGAAGGTAGGCTGGTCAAATTCTGCAAGAATGCTGCAGAATATTCTTAATTCTTCACATGTGAACTGAGGCCCATTATCACTAAAGTCTCAGTCAGATATTCCAGTCCTAGAAAAATATGCCTTTAACTATCAGATCACCTCTCTGTTCCCTGTATGCAGCAGACTATCAATTTCCCAGAAGCTGGAATACTACTGATGGTCTTTCCTTTGCTCAAGTGTCCTAGACCATCTGTCCTTTCCGCACCTTTCCTTGTCTGTCCTAAACCATATGTTTATTCTGTGCCAACATATGCACTTTCAAGCTTGTTGCAAGTAGCTGTCAACTCCTATATTTGAGGCATGAATCTTTCATGAGGCTGAAATGACCCATGTATTTCCATTATATATGAATCCATCTTGGATACTTAATTCTTTCTTTGTTAATAAAATAAAATTATGAAAAAATGGAAAGTTTATACAAGATACAAGATGGGGAACATGTGGCTCAACAGAACTGAAAAAGATCTCAGAATAATTGTGGACAATAGACTAAATATGAGCCAATAATGTGATGCAGCCACCAAAAAGCCAATTCTATTTTGGGATGCATTAACTCTGTTACTTCCAAATCATGAGAAGTAGTAGTTCTTGTATACTCTCCACTAGTCATACCTCGTCTGGAATACTGTGTCCAGTTCTGGGCACCAAGATTTAAGGGAAAGGGTCCAGAGGAGGGCAACGAAAATGATCCAGGGTTTGGAAACATTGCCCTATGAGGAGAGACTGAAAAAACTGGGCATGTTCAGCCTTGAGAAGAGAAGATTGAGAGGGGACATGGTATCACTCTATAAATACCTCAAAGGCTGTCAGAAAGAGGAAAGGCCAAGACTCTTCTTGCTGATACTAAAGTGTAGGACAAGGAAAAATCAATTCAAGTTGTGACAATCCAGATTCAGGGTATACATCAAGAAAAGCTTTCTCACTGTCAGAGCAATACGATAGTGGAACCAGCTGCTTGGAGAGGTGGTGGGCTCTTTCACATTAGAGACATTCAAAAAGAAACTGGACAACCGTCTGAGTAGGATGGTGTAACTTGGTGTCTTGCAACAGCAGGGGGTTGGACCTGATGGCCTTCATGGCCCCTTCCAACTCTACTATTCTATGATTCTGTGATTTACCCAATCTCCCAAGAAATCAAGTTAAATATGCAATCCTTTCACTAGGAACTGGTTTGAATAAGGTGTAAATATATGAAATTCTTAGCTCTTCCCATGTTTCCTATTTTGAAACTCTCCAAATTCAGGTTTCAATATAAATATGCTCAATATAAATCATGGAAAGAAATTGTGATTTATAAACTTAGAGATATATTTATATTTATAGTGGAAAACCCCTAAGACAATTAAAAAATAAAACTGCCCAAATAAGAACAAGTTCCAGTTAATACAAATTAAAAACTTTACAACTTACCTGCATAACACAGGTTGCATAAGCGTGCTTACAAGACCTGAAAATTATAGTATTAAAGAGTTAGGTTAAAAAGCAAAGATTACTTTCAATCATCTATATGTCTATTATTGGGGAAGACACTGGTAATTATGATGGGACTTCAAAAAGTTTCCGGACTTTTATATTTTATAAATATGTTTTATATATTTTTTGCTGATGGCATTAAAAAGATGATATGATGCTGGGAAAAATGCATTGCAAAGGAATTTGACTGTGTAGAAAAGTGATGTAATTTGTTTTTGAAATTCTTAATAAATAGAATTTTTAAAAGTGCGGAAACTTTTTGAAGAACCCTCCTACATGGAAACAAACCCAAATATTAGGATATTGTATACAGTTTTGCAAGAGTTTTTCTTTGAATTCTCCGAAATCTGAGCACATGCTCCACTTTCGTGGCCAGTTCCAGGCACTGGATGAAGGAAGGGAAGCTTTGCAATTATCTCGTCCCTGAAAACAGCTGGCAGCTAAACTGAAGGTTGGTCCCAGATTAACACACTTAGTAAATGAATAATTGCCACTGGAGCTGATGCATTTAATTTCTTTCCCATTCCTATCCGTGAGAGGGAAATAGTTTGTTTAAGATAAGAAAAAAGTATGCTCTCCTCCTCTTTCTGACCCTGCTGGCACGATCTTGGTCGAGCTTTTCGTTTTTAATGTGGTCGCAGTCCTACCCAGTGCAAGTGCACTGAACTTTGCTCCTATTCTTTAGCTGCAGCTTTTATGGACCTGCCTTGTCATTGTTCTGCTCATCTTTTTTGAAGGCAGACGGTGCAGAAAGCACCCTTGTGTGCGTGTATGTTTGGAAGGGGATCGTGCACTCTGGCTGCCCTCAATTTTCCAGGCGTGCAGAACATGGAGGCGCTTTTTTAAGAAGCCAAACTGTGACCGGTGCAAAATGGCTTGCCACACCTCAGGAGATATCTCGGTGCTTCTGCAGGGTCCCTGGGATACCGTGGAAGGAGTGAAAGTGGAGAAGCATGGGGGGGGAGGGGGAGGCAGGAGGAGGTGTGCCATTTGTCAGGCACACAGATATTTTAACCACAGCACATGGTTAAAATTCCAAGGAGTTTAACATGTGAGAACTCGTTCTCGATTAACTAATCCTATCTTCTAGAGGGGGCCCTTTCAGGTTCACAGCAGATCCTGTAGACAGTTTTTGCTTGTCTCATGCTTGGGTGAGAAGGAACCTGCTGCTGTCCAAGAACAGCTATGCCAAAATCATGGATTCTCTAAAATTTCCACCCCGGGGCATTAAAATAGAGTGGTACCTTGGCTCACGAACTTAATTTGTTCCAGGACTCTAGTTCTGACCCAACTTGGTTGTGAGCCAGGTCAAATTTCCCCATAAGTTCAGTGTAAATAAGGTTAATCCGTTCTGTAACTTCTTTTTTTTGTTAATCACAAAAATTTGGAGCAAAGTGACAAAGCACGACAAAGATCGTGGCCATCTCCCCCCACACCCCGAGCACAAGGGCGGCCATCTCCCACCGCCAGCCTGATCGCGCCCATCATCCCTGCACGAGCGGCCATAGATGGGTGCGATCACGGGCGTGCTCAGGGGGCAGGATGAGTGTGATCGTGGGCGTGCTGGGGCGGAAATGGTCACAATCATGGGCGTGCTGGGAGGGGAGATGGGCGCGATTGCAATCGTCACCCGATGCAAAATTCGCAACCTGAAGCAACATTTTGAGAAATTTCTGTTCACAACCCTATTTGGTTGTGAACTGAAGCATTCGTGAGCTGAGGTACCACTGTACATACTGCTAGGGCTGAACCCCTTGCAGACGTACACAGGAGAAAGTCAGTAGGACTCACTTCTAAATACACACACATAAGAGTCTGCTGCATTGGGATTACAAGCA